AGATACCTTATTTTGCCTTGCGTGACCCACACAAAACGAGACATTTTTGATAATTTTTAGTCAATTATGACCTCAAATCAGACTGAAAGGGCCAAAATGACCCCCGAAACCTCTAAAGAACATGTTTTTGGCATGAATATCGAGTACTTTTTTTTTATAAAACCCTTAAATTAAACTGTTCCTTTGACGACTGGTGGTGAAAAACAATTTTTTGATTTTTAGTTGGTGGTAAAATAAAACTTTTAAAAGTTTGTGGCAAAAAACAATTTCGTGTTTTGTCTTGTTGATAAAAGTCAAAAAACCTTTTTTTTATTATTATTTTTGTTTTAATTAAAAAAAATAAATAAATAACCAACTACATTGCATTGTCGAATTTTTTTTTTCTTACCACCAATTCAAATCTTTTACTTGAGATATTCAAAGCTCATCAATGGTGATACATAATAAAAAATCGAAAACATCCCTTTAGATCACAAACCCAATATACTCCGTACATATGAATTGATAACGAATAATTAATTTGATATAATATTATTTTAAATGGATGTATAATTGCTAAATAATCGGCTTAAAATGATCTTTGAGAATATCAAATCTTATCAATGGTGAATTAAATACAATACATATATAATTTGGTAAGTTTTGAAGCATAATTGTGATTAAACACTAATATTATTGATTACATATACTATAATTTGGTATTTTTTGGATGTGTTTTGGATTGTTGAAATAAAGGAAGGAAGGAATCCAAAGTAGCCTGACCCGGGCGCCCGATCGGGCGCGAGAAGGGTCGTAAGTTCTAAGTTCCGTCGCCCGACCGAGCGGGCTGACTGGGCGCGAAAGGACGCTTGGAAATCAAGAGTGTTCGCCCGATCGGGCCGGCTCCGCCCCACCGGGCGCTAGAGCAACCTAGAATCTGTCTAGGTGCTTGCCCGATCGGGCTCGAGTTCGGCTGTTGGGCTGCTACGTTTCTTCTTGGATTCTTCTCTTCTTTGTTCCCTTGTAACCCCCCATTTAAGAGGGTTTTTATGGTGGATAAATCACCATGTTTACTTCTGATTTTTCCACCTTTTGACTTCCCTTTGATCTTCCATCCTCCATCATTCTTCCATATATATTTGATGGTTGTTTTCTGGTTTGTATACACAAAAAAAAAAAAAAAACACAAAAGCAAAACACATTTGTACTTCTTTGGGCATAAGTTTCCATAAACTCCACCTCTCACTCTAAAGTGCCTTAGTGTGAGAGTGGTGTGTAACCTTAGGGAACGATCCACCGATTACAATTGTGCACCTCGGTTGCGCCGAAATTCATTTTCAAAGGCAGTGATTTATCATGCCACACCGGTTTTCCTTACCTTTCCCTCCTTGTTCATTTTGTTGGCTATTGTATTAGACAACTATTTTACAACATGGATGAATAATGAAGATTAGAGGTTGAAGATGAAGTGCCCCATTAAAATAGATCAAAGATGAAGTGCGCCATTGAAGATGGATGAAACTATCAAAATGAGGATGAAGCTTTTAAGATGGAGAAGAAGATGTACAAATGTTTTTTTTTTTAAAATTTATTTTGGACGACTTACTTCAATTTTATAACGTTTAATGATTGTTTATAAATTATAATATTATAACGTGGAAAAAAAATACCCTCTAAAAGTAATGAACCAAACAACACTTTGCTGACTGGTCGCTGACTTGTGACTTAAATGATGTGTAACTTAGATTTTTTAATTTTTTTTAAAAATGTAATATTCGAAGGCTAAAATTAAGCAATAAACATTATCAACAGTTCAGATTTAGTCCCTTATAGTCGTCCATAGTCGACAACTATGCTAGAACCATCCGACATAGTAATGTTGAGATCAAAAATAGCATACGACTTTCAAACGTACGGAGTAGGAAGCATTGTCTCAAGCCTTAGAATTGTCTTGGCAGATGATGCATATGACATACTCAGGGTTTTCTGTAGATCTGAAGCAGACTTAATTGAAACACTTTCTAGAGCTTTCAAATTTTCAATATCATATCATCCAGTGGTCTATCACCGTTCCTTTACCATACTAGTCGAGGACATAGAGTTGCAACCATTGCCTTTTTATTACTTCTACAATGAAATAATATGTCTGCCTTACTTTTGACAAGTATCCCTACTTCACTAGGTTTGAATCAATGTTTCTACGTAACATGTCTTAAATAGGACTTTGAATCAAATCTACGTAGGTTTTTGTACTTTTACCACGAAAAATAAAATAAATTTGTTTTTTACCGCATGCCATAAAAAAAAACAGGTAAACCTAAGGGAATTTTTTAAATACTTCGATTTTTGTGTCAAATACATAGTCTTTTGAAGGGCATTTTGTCCCTATAAATCCAATTTGAGGTCAAAATTGACAAAAAGTAATCGTAAATGACTCGTTTTTCCTACTAAAAAAAATACCTCGATTTGCGTGAAACACGCAAAACGAGGCATTTTGGATCATTTTTTGTCAATTCTGACCTCAAATGGTTCCATAAGTCCAAAATGCTCCCCTAAACCTGTGAAGAACATGTTTTTGCGCTTGAAAATCGTAAATTTTTTTTAAACCGTTAGATTTAACGATTTTTCTTGACGATAGGTAATAAAAAATAATTTTTAGAATTTTTTTTGGTGGTAAAATAAAACTTGTAGAAGTTTTGGTAGTAAAAGACAATTTTTTTTTCTTATTATTATTATTATTATTATTATTATTATTATTATTATTATTATTATTATTATTATTGATACTTTCGAGGTAAATGCGATTTATTGTTTGTCTTAATTGCAAAATGTAACTTTAAACGATTCTTATTTCGTTGTACACTTGTACAGTTGTACTATATAATGGTTTCGACACTTTCGTGACTTTCGTCCATTTAGCCTTTTAGGCTGTTTGAGTGTGAGTAATAATTTAAATAAACTAACAAACTAATCCATTTAACATTTTAACCTTATGTAACTTATAATTGTAAGAAACGCAAATGTTTGGAAATTGAAATTGATTAAATATGACATAGTTAATGTATATCAGTATATGTATATCTTTATATGTAATAAATAATAATGTATGGTACCATTGGTATCATACTATCATTGGTATGTACAGATAATCGATAAACATATCTGATTATAAAAACTTAAAACACTTCATGATGATCTAATTAAATACTTCTACTTCCTCAATTATCGATTTATCGTAATAAAAGTATTAACTCATCAAATCATGGTCATGACGCGATATTTAAAACAATCAAAACAAGAAGGCAAGCTGATAGCTTGATAATATTTGATAATGAAATAATAATACATTAATACCTTATAAATTTGTAATAAACTAATACTCCGTATCTAATAAACAACAACAAGAGTGTAACCAAACTTAAAACATAACATAATAACATGATATTGAATAAATGAGGATTTGTGTAATTGTATATAATCTGATGTGTGAATCGATTTATCGTATTCAAAGTAGCAACTCACCAAATCATGGTCATGCCACAATCTCTAAAACGATCAAACAAGAAGTTGATAGTCTGATAATATTTGATTATGAAACAATAATACACTAATACCTTATAAATTTGTAATAAACTAATATACTAATACGATAATATATTATTATCTAATAAACAACAACAAGAGTATAAGCAAACTTGAAATATAACATATTAACATGATATAGAATAAATGAGGATTGGTATAATTGTATACAATCCAATGTCTGAATCGATTTATCATATTCAAAGTAACAACTCATCAAACAATGGTCATGACGCGATCTCTAAAACAATCAAACAAAAAGCTGATAGCCTGATAATATTTGATAATGAAACAATAATACATTAATAACTTATAAATTTGTAATAAACTAATATACTAATATGATAATATATTAATATCTAATAAACAGCAACAAGAGTATAACCAAACTTGAAATATAACATATTAACATGATATAAAATATATGAAGATTTGTGTAAGTATATACAATCCGGTGTCTAAATCGATTTAATCGGCATTGAACCGGGTAAACCCGCCTCTAAACCGACCCGTTTTGAACCGATCCGACAATAACTCGAACTGATATGAACTGAACCGGCATTGAACCGAGTAAACCATTCCATGAAGTGACCCATTTCAAACCATCCGATAATGACCCACACCGATATGAACCAAACCGGCATTGACCTAGGTAAATACGCCCCTGAACTGACCCGTTTCAAACCAATCCGATAATGACCCGAACCGTTTATAACCTGAACCGACATTGACCCGGGTAAACACGCCCCTGAACCGACTCGTTTCAAACCGATCCGATAATGAACCGAACAGTTTATAAACCGAACCGTCGTTGACCCGGGCAAACCCGCCCCTGAACCGACCCGTTTCAAACCGATCCGATAATGAACCGAACCGCCGTTGAACCGAACCGAATTCAAAGTGCACCAAAATAAATCGAAATTGAACCGAACCGTAACTAATCAAAACGAACCGAACCGAACTGACCTGCCGGCTAAATGAAACCGTTTCAACCCAAACCGCTTTAAACCGAACCCGCTTCAAACCGAACCCGATTCAAACCGAGGTCAAACCGAACCGCCAAACCCGATTGATGCGGTAATTAACAGGGAAAATTGATTGGTTAAAAAAAAAGTTGAATGGGTTTGGGTTTGGGTTTGGAAACGTAAAAGTAAAATTGAAATTAGGAAGTAAGATTGTAGAGAATGCATAGGATAAATGTGGAATGAGATATTTTTATTAGATGGTCATGATATCACTCATCAGTGGTGAGGTCGTAGGTAGGGAAGGTTGTAAACATGATTAGAACGAGTTAATATTAATAACTAACCCAATTTATCATACTAATCCGTAGTAGTATCTCAAAACTACAGTAATATGAAATGATAAGTACGTGGAGTGAGAGTTAGTGTGTATAAAAAGATAATGTGCAACTACAGTTTTACTAAGTCTAGTAATAGTCCATATCATATCAAACTGATCCATCCATCTATGACATGTATTTATTCTTACTTGTTTTGTGTGTGGAGTGGTGTGTGTACTTGTATGCCTTTCCAGGCTTAGTAATATTCTCAGCTCCATGCCTTATCTTCTTCTACTCTACTGACTTATTACTTGCTCTTTCTATCTCTCTTTCTCTCTCACCAAATAAAATAAGCAACAAAGCCTGATCTCAATTGAGGGAACAAATGGAGCAACAGCTACAACACAAGCAAGAACAAGAACAAGAGCTCGACCCCAACTTTATGTATCTCAAGTTTGTCAATCAAGTACTATTTTTTTTTTTTACTACAGCTATTTGGTTTTCATATTAAATTTGGGGGCATCTGCATCCAATCCCTATACTTGTTTAAATTCAGGATGAAAAGGCAACTTATATAAAGGTGCTTCGGAAATCAAAGATAACCAAGGCATTTAACAAGTACTACCAAGTTAACAACATACAACATGGCATCGCTCGCTTCCTTTTCAATGGCAATTGCATTCTTCCTACCTGCGATGCCACTCCCTCTGATGTACTCTTCCTTCCTACTCTTTCTTTATCTCTTTCTTATGTACTACGACTATGTCTTTACATCATACAAATTCTCTTAATATTTTACTGCGGAGTACTTGCATTGCTATGATTATAACTAAGCCTTCTACACTCATACAGTTGTATATTCATGATAAAGATCAAATTGACGTTTTTCGCGAGGTTAATGGAGGTGCTCCATCCATATCCTAAACCATATATCAACTTCAATTCTACCGCTGCTTTTACTTTATCTTATTCATTAGTCACCGTACGGTGTATAAGGTTATCCTTGATTAAATACTCCGTATTAATTAGTAGCTATCCTTGGGATTTTAAGGCTGTTCATTAATTGGGGACCTGGATATGTATTACTCTAACCTTTAATGTTTTATTATTTATGCTTAAACACCAAACTCATCACTGCCCTTTACTAAACTACTGTAATTCACAATCATCAGTTGTTGTGCTTCCTTTGCTTTTTTATTTACATTCCTGCTTCATAATCTTTACCCTGTCATGTGTTATTATTCTTATTGTCGTGGAAAACATCTACAATTGATTCTCTCTTTACTCTGATCTATCATATACGGGAGTACAACAATACGATCAACTTAATTTTGCATTTGCTTTGCTTATCAATTTACCCCAACATCTCATAAATAAGTACTTGTATAGTTGTATATGACTTCATTTTGAAATTGATCCTTATTACCATAGAAGGACATTTTGACGCGAATATTTCCATAAATATCAAACCAACAAACATATGGGAAGACTGATGAGTTGGTAGTCTTGGTACTATACTACTATCGTATTAGTTATCACCTAACTCAGACTTCTATAAATAAGAATGCGACTTTAATTTGTTTTGCAATAGCTACTACTAACTCAAATTCATCAAAGGATTTTTTACTTTTTTGTTTTTGTTATTTTTTTTTTTTTGGTAAAAGTCAAAAATATCCTTACATCTATTACATTTCTTTGTTTCTTTAGATTTCATAGCTGCAACGTCTACTAGTGTCATGTTTAAATGCTTTCAAAAATGACTTTGCTAGACATACAAAGCAGAAAATTAATATAAAAAGTGCTAACAGAGTTTTAGTTACAGTAAGATCATAAATGTGGCTAACATCAGAAGGGGGTAATTGAAATGTTAAGGATTACAAAGATCTTGATAATATTCGCCACATTCGCTAATTAGTTTAAGTTTTGAATCATAAAATCTTGCTACAAATATTCTATTAAGTTCAAGCTAACTTACACGGCTACGCCTAAGAGTATTATCAATAATTCCAAGTGTTTCATACAGTGCTATCATCATATCCGGATAATAGTTGTCGTAATACTCAATCATTTGAACCTTGTTTTGAAAAGGTACTCCATTCTGCAAAAGAGTACAAGGTAGATATTTTTCAGCAAATCATGGTCTAATTACATAATCAAATACTTATGTAATAGTGAAACGTACCGGTACCCTGCACGTGCGATAAAAATGTGAGAGAGTGTCTTACAAAAACTTGATTAAACCGTCGATTTCGTCACTTGGATTCACTCTTTGTGTTAGTGTCGATGTAACCAAAGTACTTAGATTTGGATCATTTGACAACTTAGCCTGCCAATTCCGTAAAACCTGTGCATGAGCCGGGTTTCTTCTAACAACATTCTTCGCGCAATAGACCAGCTCTCCAAGTTTGATAATCCTATAAATTCTAGTTTGTTTTGTCCAAAATCTAGGCGAGAACAGAAATTTTGTAATTGAACTAGCCAATGGTTTTAAATAAAAAATCACAGGTTATTTTATGCGCATTAATTTCATAACATAACAAAATGAATCGTTATAACATTTCACAAATCAGGCTATCATTTTCTTTTACATAACATAAATTCATTATGTTTATTATTTAGTATACGAAAATATTAAAAATACAGAACATATTCAATTTTCTTAAAAGGTAAAAATATATAAATATCAAAAGCCAATACAATGTCAATGTCAGTTACAGTTATGCCTAAAAAATTAAAAGGTAATCATCCTACATTTACTTTGCTTTAAAAGTTTATTACATTTTCAAACATGGGATGTTAGGTGTGTGGGATGTTTGGGGTGAGAATGAGAGTTTTAGTCCTAATGTTTTTTAAGCAATTACGAATAAGATAATATGTATACACATTTCTCTATTAAAGAGTAATGAGTCTAATGACTATTATCTTTAAATTTTTTATTTTTTTAATGAAAATCAATTTACACTATTGGGTGGGCCTAGTTTTTAAAATGATAATTCACTTGTTATCACATCAAAAGGAGTAAATTAAATACGAATGATACTATGAACTTTGAAAAATAATACTTTGTACGAAGTATTAAAGTTTACCCCATAGCAAGATTTTCTGTTAAAGTGCGAGTTCATCATTGTTGATGAGTTGACAATCTATCCAAATTTGATTCAGTAAGCTTCTCAAATCCGTCCAAGTCTTCTTTCCACCATCTACACACCCACAAATAAATTAGCATATTTGATAAATGGATTACAACACTTAACTAAATAGAAAAGTGAGGTTGATGAGTTACACCAACGCAATTACCTTGTATAATTGATTTTGCAACCGCTAACACACGATAAGGCTTATCGTTGCTTATATAGATGATATTCTTGTCCAAAAATAACTTGATTCCAGAGGAATAACCATGCATGACAATCAACCCCAAATCTCTACATATGTTATTGATAAAATGTTAATAAGATAATAAAAAAAGAAGAAAATCATTTGAAAAAGTGAGTTTACAAAAAGTAATACTTACTAGAAAATTAATTTTAACATATCGGTCATTTGAATAGGGAATCCGTTATAATCAAGATACACAATGCTAGAGCGATTATTGTTTATCCAAGTGGTTAAGGTTGTTCCAGAAATTCGGTAAGCTAAAACATATTTTGTCCTAGCTACAGCCGGAGGAAAACTATCCGCAAACCCAGAATGAGCGTTTTTGTGAATAACTTCAAATATCTTATTCGCTGTAAGTCTGTAACTGGTTCATGTTGAACCATGTAAAAGCTCGGATAAGAAGTATTGTTGTCCATAACTACGTTGCCGGAGTACTCAGCAGTAAGCTTCATTTTTCCCTTAACAAAACAAAATTTTCATTATGTTATTATTGGTCTTTAGAGCATCATCATCATCATCTCACTCATCGTGTAGAATCCAAGTGTGAAATTTTTACTACTATGTTTCTAATGGTGAAATAAATTTTACTTCATTCGTTCTAGCTAAAAGTTCTTTATTTCTTTTAACTTTTTTTAATAAAAAATAAAATTGTAAGACAATTATTGTAAGAATAAATTTTTTTATACATGCAAGAAAAATGGATATAACTCATAGTATTTTCAATTAAACAAAATCAAATAAAAAAATAATTACCTTGGATTTACTCATGGCTCAATTGTAACTTATCTCTGTCTATGTTAAGAGATAATCAAATCTCCTTGTATATAGCTAGTAGTTATCCTCTTCCCTTATTTGTAGCTCTTATATTTAGCCTTTCTTGACCTTTCTTACGGTCAATTATATTTTTGGTAGTTAATGAATCTTAGCCACAATTATAGGCATAATCCTTGATTATACCGTGGCCTTAGTTTCCTTTGGTAGGTTATTTGCTTTTTCTATATATAGTTTTAAATACTTACTTTGCTATTCAATACAAAATGTATTAAATACAAAATGTATACTAGCTTTACTAGATGAAAGAATTGAAGAATGATGTAACAATGAAAGAGATGATGAGGTATGAGAAATACTCTATTAAGTAGTATATATATAGGAATGAATGTTAGGAAAAAAAGTTCAGTTGACATGTTAAATAATACTACGTAAAATTGGGTGTATGTCATGGAAAAAGGGCATGCATGCAAATTAGGGGAGAGCATGGGTCAGGTACCTGTACTGTTAACACTATCGGTTCGGGTACCCGATAACCAATAACACTAAAAATGATATCCATTAACCAAACCGATAAGTTCGGGTACCCGGATTTTCGGATCGGTTATCGGGTACCCAATATGCTATCCAATAATGAAAATTTAGACTTTATAATTCAGTTATTATGATATCATTCAACACTAATTAACAATAAAACCTCATGATCATGACAAAATTACTAATAATATTACTAACCATTTAAATTATAAAGTGATTATGAAGTAAAGTAAGAGTTTAGATTTTGGATAAATAGATTTAAGTAGGAAAAAACAAAAAAATTGCTTATCGGATCGGATCGGGTAACCTAACATTAAAAGTACATTGCAAATACATTAACTTCTTTCCTTTTTTTTGGGGTGGAACTACAGGTGGATCACCTAGCCAACCTCCGAGAAACCTTAACCACCCTCAGGCGGCATAAGGTCATGCTTAATCCCAAATAGTGTGTTTTTGGTGTTGAGTCTGGGAAGTTTCTCGGATTTCTGATTGATCAAAAAGGCAAATGAAAGAAAGAAGTTCGTGAAGGGGAAAAAAGAGTACGTATTGATTTCGTGGCAATAGCAAAAAAAAAAAATTAGTACTAGGAGTATCTTTTCTAATAAATGTTGTACATAAGTATGAAATAAAGGTAGTTTTAGGAACATGGCAACAACAAAAATAGACTAAATCTTGATAGAGATAAAGGATATCCTGCACAAGGTTCTTGAACTCCTTTGGCGCCATCTTCAGATTCCTCGTCGAGTTCAGGCACACTCTATTGTCCGTTCTCAGTTCCACTTCCTTCAACTGTTCCACAAACATTTGACCGTTGACCCACTGACATCCCTTTCACCACCCATTAATTTTAAACGGGTCAGGATCGGGCGAGTTAGCAAGTCGGATCAAAAAATTGATAAGTCTATTTCTACTTGTTGTATCTATTATTTCCAAAGGTGAATATATGGAGAAAATACAAGTTCATTATCTTTTTAGTAAATATGGTGCCCACAATAATCATCAATAACTACATACTTAAGGCGACTATAAAATAACACGTGGTAAAATCTGGTTAAATAATTTTCCGTCAATTTTTTATTTACTTCTTTGACGAATTATCTTTTGAAATTTTTAATTCATTACTTGTATAATATTCTCCTACTTTATATATATATATGTATATATACTTCTTCCGTTAAATATTAATTGCAACAAATAAATATTTTATGTCTTACAATTAATACTCATTTGTTACAAATTATAATTAACGGAGGAAGTATATATATAGGGACTTAGGGTTGGAATCCGGTGAGAAGGGTTCTTATGGTGAGAAATGTAGATACGTTGACCTTGTCTTATAAATATATTATAAATACATTGTATACACATTAAAATACATTGCAAATACATTAACTTCTTTCCTTTTTTTTTGGGGTGGAATGAAAGAAGGAAGTTAGTGAAGGGGAAAAGAGAAGAGGGTTAGAAGTATCTGATAGCATTAAAGAGAAGAGGATAGATGAAAAGGACGAGATAAAAAGAAGAGAAGAGGAGAGATGAAAAGGACGGAGAGATGAAAAGGACTAGAGATGGATGCAGAGTAGGGAGGAGAGAGAAAGGGGGGTTAAATGGTAAATGCATTCATTATGTCTTGCGCCCATTACTAAACACAAAGCTGAATTCTTGTACTCAATGAAGGAAAATAAAAAATCCCCCAAAACCTACAAAATTATTTGTTATCATCTCCAAAATTAAATGTCAACATTTAAATGTGCTTGCTATCTCTGATCTCTATATGAGATATGTCGTATTTTTATTTTTTCAATTTTAACCCATAAGCGATACTATGGTCGTCATATTGTCATTCCCCATAACTTGGTCAGATACTCGCTTGAGTGAAGCTCGTAATTAGGTATATTGTGAGTAAGTTTTATATACATTAAGATGTATAATGGTCCCCACATTACTTTTACAATAATAAATTGTAGGGAGAACCAAAATATATTTGCAATGATGTTATTTGCTAAATGTATAGCAAAATTCACAAAGCATTGAACTTAATAATCTAAGTTTTGGAAATTTAAATCGTATAATAATAAACAAGTTTTTAGGCCCAGGCGAAGCCCCAAATTACTACATTATTTCCATGATAGAAACCGTCGTTAATATTTAATTTTGATAGAATGACAAGTAATATGGTAATAGCTTAGTGACTAACATGTTAAAATTTAAGCTTAAGATTATGGGTTCAAATCTTGTAAGATCCATATTTTTTAGTACTAGGGTATGCCCGTTGCACGCGGAGCAACACGCAATAGTACAAGAGTGTGTCTCGATGTAGTGAAATGTGTTGATTTTATTTGATTAGACGTTTAGCTCGATTTAAAATTGGAAGTGTATATATAGCTAATAGATTTTAATAATTATTTTTAGAAAATACTTTTAGAAATAGATTTTCACAAATTCTTATATATGTGGTTGGCGTGTGGCCAACCATCATGGAGGTTACTTTGTGAGTATTAAGGTTACTTGTTCAGTGTTGCAGGGGCTACTTTGTCAGTGTTATAAGGATTACTCAGTCAATATTACACGGGTTACTTGATCAGTGTTATAGGGATTATTTTGTTTTGTTTACAAAAATTCACATGGTGCGGTCAGCCGAACACAAGACGTGCTGATATATTTTATGTTTAGATTTATCATTTTAGAGATATTTTGAATATGCTCGTGCGTGAATATTTTTGCTCATTGGGTCCAAATTAGGTGGCAATTCTTAAAAGTTAGTCTTATTGACCAATAATAAGGTGACACGTTTCAAACTTTCAGTATTATTGACAATATGACAAGAAACATTAAAAAAAAAAGTTTTTAAATTTTGTTTGTTAGATTGTAAAATATGATGGAAATTAAAGTAATATTTTAAAAGTGTAGTGTAGTCTACGTAAAATGGTGCAATGTTGCCAATGTAGATCAAAAAAACAAAAATAAACAAATTTAAATATGGGAAACAAAAATAAACCAAATTAACCCCACAAACCCACATTGCAAAAAATGTCAAAAATAAAATGATACGAAGACCACAAGCTTTAAAAATAAATTAAGCTTGTGTCCAATTAAGTTAGTCTCCGAGCGATATACACGATTGCCAACGATAAATTTATCCCTAATATACTTCGTGTACTCATAACCAATAATGAAGCATGTGAATGTAGGCTTTAGCATAAATGCATCATCAAATTAAATATAAACCACACAACATATCTCCACAAACCCCTTGTTTCTATACCACCATAGGTAGTCCTTCAAAGCATGTTGCAAACTAAGCATAAAAATAAACAAGTAATCCATTAATCCAATAGAAAATTGCAATTCTTCTCTCAAATACTTCATAATAGAAGATCATTAAATCAATTATAGTTTCACTTGTCATTTCATAAATGTTCGTGCAACAACCAAACCGCCCAATCCATAAATGAGGCATTATCACATTAAAAGTCTTTTTCAAATACAAAGCTTTAAATAACCAACAATAAATGAGGCAACGAAAGTAAGAAGTCTATTGAAAAAAATCACAAAAAAAAAAAAAGGAAACGTAAGCACTTACAAAATTACAGTCAATAATATTGGCAGCAAAATATCAAACAAAGAGAGTTGACGATAAAGTCAATGGCACAAAATAAAAAAAATTGAAGAAAACTAAAATAAAACACACAAACCTGAGTAGCTTTGTAAGCATTCATAGTATCTTCAGCAGCAGTTTCCTTTCGTCACCAGATTTAAACTCGGCAATATAACGATGATAACCTCCCTTCATCTTCAAGTAGAATACTCAAGATTCACTGACAGCAGCATTAGGACTTTAGGAGTGAGATGAGAACTAAAAAGCTTCAGAATACAAGCACAGATATCAGAAAGCTCATATTCAACTTTTCCATTGTAATCGCTAACAAGAGCGACATGGTCAAAAATCAATATGCAAACAATAGCAATATACCTATTTTAATGGAAGTACCATGAAGACCACAAGCTTTAAGGAGAAACCCAATACTCAAAGACCACAAGCTTTAAGGACCATCAGCGCCAGAGATATAGATAATCAAAAGGTTTGGTAGTAGTCCAAGACTGATCATCCATATAACAGGAGTAACCTCAAAGATGTAGAAATCAGAGGTAACTCCAATGGTATTTTTAAAAGTTTAGCTATGCAAATCAGTTTATCAAAAAAGGTATAAACTCAATTTACTTCCCTCTTTATGTTCACAAGTAAACTCCAAACTTGCAATGTAACAGTATAATTCTACTCCATAATTCGGTAATAATTATTAAAAAGAAAGATGACTGTAAAGATTCGATTAGATAGTCCAATCATAAGTATAGAAGTCCCTTTACTATAAATAAGCAAATTTAAAATTTAAGTAAGAAGCTAATACATTAAAATTGTTGTAGAGCATGGTGCATTATATTAGAGCTTTCAATCTAACAATCCACCAACTTACCCCACAAGAAACATTTGCAAATCAATTGTAAACCCTAATAAAATGCCAATTATAACAAAATTGTATAGACACTAACACAAAAGCAAGAGTTAAAAAAAATGAAAATAAAGAACAATAAAGCTGAAAAATACAAGGAATATGAGAAGAATATAAGTGGAGAAGAAAGCTCACAGTCGTTTAATACCTTAAACTGAAGTTCAATTACATGAACAAAAATGATTTTCGAGTGATTAAGCTAGCTTGGTATTTCCGTAGATTGCCGGAGAATGGAGTTGTTTTATCGGAATCCATGCCCATTCTTCCGCCTCATCATTTAGTTTGATTACCCTATAACAACCAAATGGAAAAAAAAATCAAAATTACAACTATATAGGTCGTTAAAATCTTTATGGCTCCAATAAGTATAACCTATGTATAGTTCAATAACTGATAATTAAATTAACAAAAGTGTGAGACTAAACTCTTCCTAGTTTCTCAGCTTGATCTCTTTCTCCTTTCAACATCACAGTCTCTCTCCACTTCGCTTCCTGTTTCATTGCCTCTGAAAACTCTTCCTAATTGGTTTCTCCAAGATCGGAATCCCAAATCTCAAGTAATTAAGCTGATTTTCTCAATTTAGACTTTCATCTAGCCCCAAAGTATAATATGCTTCTTACTAATTAGCTTTGACCAAATCATTTAGACCACTTTATCAAACTACATACAAAGGAGCAATACCTTTATATATAATCTGTTAAATTAAATTCATCTCAGAAAAAGAATGTTAATACATTTTATAAAGAGCAGTTAAAAACTCTTTTTTCTAGCACCATGCAACGCATAAATTGAGGAAATAGGTTTGAATTCTTACATTACTGGTATTAGATGATGAAAATCCATATCTCTTCTTACTTTGATCAACTGTCTTGGCCTTCTCAGATTGTAGCTATTCATGCACTGAAGCTTTCTTGTTCTTAATAGTCATAATATACAACTTGCTTCTTATTGCTGAAAGTCTGAAACAATATCCGGATTCTCTTCAAGTAGCCAAAAATATTGAGTAACAACCAAGCTTGATATGATGCCCTTGTTTGAGTTATGAATCCGTAACTTTAGCACTTGAGCTTGACATGATGCCCTTGTTTGCAGTTGAGCTCTATCGTCTGAAAATTCGTACCGTGGATTATAGAGAATAAATTAGAATTAAGAATACAGCCAACCAACCCCCCATCCTCCCCTCCTTTCTTTCTCTCTCCTTGTATGAGTTTCACTCGTTCACCCCCCATTAGCCAGCTGATGCTTAAGTCTTCCTCACCTCACTTTTTAATTTATTTTTGTGTTTAATGAGTTTATGGCCTGCAATATCATATCAAGCTTTAACAAAGGATTTCCTTCATTTAAATTTATTCTCTGCAATCCACAAATCTTATAGTGACTTCCTGCAAACCCCAAGATTCCCATCCCAAATTACATAGAACAACACAAGCTCAAGTTTTCAACCAACCAACCAAACATCAAATCTCAACCTTCAAGTTCAAAAACTGATCAAATCAAACCCAATTCATCAATTCCTAGATTCAAATTTGACCCAATTCTACTCACTCTTCAATTCTACATCTAAAAATGGCATACAGCAAACAAGTATGAAAGACCTCCACTTACCCCAGTCCCCTTTACTGATTCAGCCCTCCACTGGTTGTAATAAGCAGATAGCAAATATTGTTGTGGTACATTGAACCAGGTAGCATTAGAAGAAATATATTGACGTAACACCCACATACAATTTCAGATGTAACTTGTAGTTAATAACATTAAGAAAAACCCCGAAATACACGACAACCAACACTGATCCTGTGTTTCCCCTCAGCTCCTCAGCAGTAACCGCTTATAATCAACATTGACTAAACAATTACCATTACAACCAAACATACTAAACAAAAAAAAAATAAAATCAAGACAACAAACCTCTTTTCACAAACAATCGAGGTGAAAGAAATTATTGGCTAAGTTTATTCAATCGAGGTGCAGAAGCTCTTGCTATTATCATGCGAAAGAAAGGAGAAAGAAATTATTTTGCCACATCAGCAAGACAGGCACCGTAAAGCACAATAGCTAGTTTATGCATGTAAGGTGCATATGCTTTCCCACATGTCATTTCCACGCGTGGCTACTGTTCATAAGGGGGAATACTCACACTTTTAAGGGGTGAGGATATGGAATGAAAAAGTTTATTAAATGAGTAGAGCGTCATGTGGCATCCTAAAATTATTTAGAAACGCTTTTTAATATATAATGTAGATATAGATAGATACGAGTAACAAATGACAATCATTTAAATCATTGTAAGAATATTAATGAAGACAACAGGTGTCACATTCATGTTTAAGCCAAATAATTAAAATCGAATTATCTATGACATGTCGTACCTACATAAGTGAGACGATGAATAATAAACTAGTGACAAATTGAAAGATGACAGCCAAATATGGTTGGTTTAAAATTATGGTTGGTTTGAAATCATAGGTTGAGTTATAATTATGGTTGGTTTAAAACTGTGGTTGGTTTGAAATAAGGTCAGGTTAAAATCGTGTCGAGTTAAATCAGATCGGATTAATATTGGATTAGGTTGGTATCAATGTGGGTTAATATCGAATCAGGTTAATATTAGTTCGGGTCAAAACAGGTTAGATTGAATCAAGTAATTTTCAGGTCAATTTCAGGCCAGGTAGAGTTTAGGTAGAGTCAGATCGGTTTGGTTTGAGTTCTAGTCAGGTCAAATCGATTTTGGGTTAAGCTCGGGTCGGATCAATAAGTGCTAATTTAGCTTAGAACTGGTAAAATTTAGGTTTGAGTTGAGTTCAGGTCGTTTACAGATAGATCGAGTTTAGGTTGTTGTAGGCGTCGCTAGAAGTGTGCTTACGTTAAGCATATTGTGAATATGCTTGACAACTATAGGAAGTTGGATTAGACATATAACGATTAAGGACGAAAAAGTAGGGAAACGCCAACAAGTTTTTAAGGAACTTGTAAACTGTTCATGGATCATTGACAACTACAAAACGGGACAAATAGGTTACATCCCATTCATTATATTGTGTATTCCATTATGGTCCTGAACCATGATTGGATTTTCAGGAATGATGGTATGAAATTGAGTCATGAAGGTAATTCCGATCTGCCCTTATTAGCCTTTACTCGATTCTTATAGTGATATGTATTAATTGCAATCAAAAGACATACAGACAATATTCAATTTGCTCCAAACTAATTAATCTTAGTTGGTTGAATATTAATGCACATATAAATCTAATTATTGTGATCACTTAGTAACAAGATTACTAGGAACCTAAACCAATTGTCCAAATCATCTTATTAAGTGTGATTTTTAATTCCAGGTTTTAATTAAAACATGCAATATGGTGATCAAAACAAATATATAAAATCAAATAGGTTAAACAAGCATGCATAAAATAGGAAGCAACTCAATATAACAATTAGAGAACAAATTAAACGCATCCTAAACATGATACTAAATAATTTTAATATGACCCTAGGCATGATACTAAAAATATTAATCTAAAGTCTAAACATGATAATAAGAATTCGAAATACGATTCCTAAACACATTAAGCTAGCAGGAACACATATTGTAGAATTAATTACACAAAAGGAAGGAATAATTAGATATACTTACGTCGATCGCAAAACCTTCCAATTACATCATTATTAATAAATTGTTAATAAACTTCAAATAAATTGTAAATCAAATTAAATTAAATTAAATCAAATTGGGTTTAGATTGATACCCTCAGGGTTCATGATCAAGCTTTTACGCCGTAGACCGCCGATAGAGCTTCGAGTGAATTGAAGTATTAATATATAGCAGTACTCGAAAAAGGAATTTCGGAATATTAGAGATATGGAAGATTAAGAAAATAAGAGTATTACAGAGAATACGAGTAGAACACGGTGCCCGTGACCCTCAAAAAGCTACGATATATTATAGGAGTAAAACCAAAAAAGGATAAAATCTACAAAAAAGATCAGTAGCTCGTGCGACGTAACGAACGCATTTAGGCATGACGTGCCAGATTACTGAATTCGGGATTGAGCTTAAGAATTAAATGGAAATAATTAAATAAAGGTTTGGGCTTAAGACATAAATAAATTTAAATATGGCTTAGAAAGATGAAATGATTAATTGGATTTTATAATAAAAGTAAATGCTCCTTTATTACAACACTCTACTTGAACCAAACGGTTATGAATGGTTTTACTCATCATCGAGTTTCGGTCAAGAAGACTTTTTAGGTGTATGCAGTCCTGAATTTCTTGGGTCAAATCAGATTGGTTACAATTCTAAACGGATGGTTTTTTTCGAGTCAGAGTTTGGATAATAAGAAATCGTGTGTGTGGGGGGGTTATTTAGAGAAATGCGACTACTGCAATGGTGAGTCACGGTGCTAATATTAGCACACTTCATGAAGGTTTGAGTTATGTGGTGACTATCAACGAGCAACTAGCGCAAAGAGCTATAGTGTTTCAATACTAGCAACAACGAATGAAAGAGAAATGGATAAATTATTGTGACATGTCTTCGACCTTAGCTTGATGTTTAATAAGGTGAAACACATGCAGAAAAGATGGGAAATTCTTTGCGCAATGATTTGGATGAATGGATACCAATTGGAAATTTAATTAAAAACTCTCTTATGGAAGTGTACAAGACGGCTGAGGTCAACCCGACATGGATGGGAGAGAGTGTGGACCTTTTTCTCCAAGAATTTGATCTCCAACATATCTTGGAGGAGGATAGTCATGATTTAATCAAATCGTTCACTGCACAAGAAATATGAAAAGCGATGTTCTCCATTAACAATCTAAAGTCTCAAGGATTGGACGAGTTCATTGAGGAGTTTTTCCACAAACATTGAGAACAAGTGGGTGCGAAGGTAGTGGCGGCATGTTCCTTCATTACTTCTTTTCTACAGGTTACATGCTTAACGAAATCAATGCTTCTATCTTGGTTATGATTCCTAAGGTGGAAACCCCGGAAGTGGCGGTGCAGTTTCATTCAATAAGCTTGCGTAATAGCATTTATAAAGCATAGATAAATGTTTGGTCAACAAGATGAAAGGGTTGTTTCTTGAGCTGTGCTCATAACGGAATACTAACATGCCTTTATACCAGACAGATATGTGGAGGATAATATTCTTTTAAGTCATGAACTGCTGCATTTACTAAATACTAATAAAGGAGTGTCGGATAAGGCAGCGGCCATCAAGATTGATATGTCAAAAGCTTATGATTAAGTAAATTGGTTTTTTCTCCTAAAGGTTTTATAGGCTTATGGCTTCCCGGCAAAATGGATTCAGCGGATTTTTTAGTGTGTGTCTACAGTTTCATACCAGACTGTGGCTTAAGGCAAGGGGGCCCACTTTCCTCATATTTGTTTCTCTTCTTCGTGGAAATTCTATCCAAAATGCTTATCATGGTGGAGGATCTCAAGCAAATCAAAGGGCTTAAAGTCACTAGGAGGTCACCGTCAATCTCACACTTTTTTTTTTTTTTTCTAATGATGCTATGATTTTTTTTCCAGGTTTTAAGGGAGTCTTGTGTAACAATGGTTAGTTATTTAGGAAATTTCGGGGAGGTCTCGGGTCAGAGACTTAACCTTATCAAGTCCTTTGTCAAATTCAATAGTTTAGTGTCCTTTCAAAATGTGGAAACTATAAGAGCATTCTAAAGATAGGACAAGTTTTGATTATGGAGCACCACTTGGGGGCACTAGTGGACCTAATGATAGGAAAGATACAATCTTTCCAGTTTCTACTTGACAAAGTGGTGAAGAAAGTTACTACTTGGGGCTCTTTGAAGCTTTTGCAGCCAGCAAAGCTTGTTCTAACTAATTCGGTTAACATAAGTATCTCCTCCCATGTAATGAAATGCTTCAGATTGCCACTCTCAATTGCAAGTAGAATTGATTCTATTATTACTCGTTTCTTTTAGGATAAAAATGGAGATAAAGGGATGCACTGGATTGGAAAGGATACCCTTCACCTCTCAAAGGAAATGGGAGGACTAGGGATCAGGTCAATAATTAACCTCAATGATGCACTTCTGTTAAAGCAAGTTTATCGGATGCACGCACTATGGTCCCTAACTACTATTGGCACGCTCCCTTTCCCCCACCCACTCCTTCTCCTTGTGTATGGGACATGCTATGCATACTATCCGTAGTAATGCATCTTTGGGGAAGGGAGAGGTTTTCATACTATGGCTAATAAGTTTGTTTTATGTTTTGCTTGGAAGATCAACAACGGGGAAAAGGTGAAGATCAAAAATATGAAATGGGTGAATGGTCATATCCCTCTTCTCAAATATGACCCAATGTTGATTGGAATTGCCTGGAAGAGTTTGTTACTTGATAACAAGATCACCAAGGCTGGTTTAGAATGCGACAATGGTGAGAGTGAAATTTAAATGT